GGGAACGTATCAATTAAAACAGGTACTGCACACAGAACTGAGCTCAAATTCATAGATACACATCTAGGGGAAGAAGTTTCCAAGAAGTCTTTCAAAATGTCCCCCACACCTTCTCAATGAAAAACACTTTCAACACTCTTGACATTAAAAAGAATAACTGATGATGTTTAATTTAACCAAGCACTGTGATCCTGTTATAAAGCTATGCTTCGTTAATCACACCTGTGATAGTGCCACTCTGGGAGGCTGAGGCAAGAGGATGAGTGTCAAACTCCCCTGAGGTCCAAAGCAAGACCTAGCGTGAAAATTCAAAATAATAAAATCAAACATGTAAAAGGTTGGATGTCACTCAGAGTGAAAGTCCCAGGTGCAATCTGCAGTAATGCAAAGAAATACACTGCAATCATTGCTACCCTTGGGTATACCCTTCCTAGTACACTTAGATTCTGTTTTTCATGCTATTTTTAAAGGCAAAACAAAGAGAACAATTTCAAATTTTGCCTCAAAAGTGATTAGGTTAACTTAGGAGTAACAGAAGACATATATTTCCTAAATTTTGTCTTTGAAGTTAATAATCTTGGCATACTTCCAAACAAAGCCAGCACATAATAACTGTTTAAATATCACACTAAGAATATCCGCAGGGAAGATGAGCAAAGATACCTGTGAATTCAGAATTTAACTTGAGATAGTGTCAGAATTCAGTGCAATTACTAGGGATAGTTTCTGTCTCTAGAGCTGAAGAGCTTGTAGGCATAGAACGAAACTATAGTACACATTCGCTGGAAGAAATGTTGTGGATAAAATCAGTGCTATATATCTTCCTCTGTGAAATTCACCCTGTCCATGCTTCATTCCACAGTACTCCCAAATCTGACAACTCACCAGAGTTCAGGCTAAGCACACCACCACTCTACAACTTTTCAGGGTCTCTCCAAAAACCTGTGTTCTTCAGAGTGTATTCTTTAAGCAGCTAGGACAAACTCTGTACAATCAGATATCTGGCCATGAAGTTGTATTTAAACCAAGTTGTTGCACACACTTGGTCAATTTTTCACAGTATTTATGTCAGCTGATGGAGACTTTCTTTATTAAGTACCAATGACACGTGTAGGTATAGAGTTAAATGAGTTCAGAGAGATGACCTGCAAGATTATGGAGTGGTTCGCATAGCACCATATCCAAAACCATAAATTATGCGTGATAATATTGACACGGTGTATTAGTATACAAATTCCACCTGAATACATTCAAAAATAGGTGGCCCTTAAATTATACTTTCTGGTCTTGTATGCTAAGTTTTCTCATTGTTTCCTAAATTTCCCAGAACTTCCTCAGGCAGCCCATAAAGACATGGCTTTTTGGGTGCATCCCTCTCAATGACTGCACCATAATTCAGTCTCCCTGAGTAGTAGAAAAAATAGACACAGACTGCCAACGAGAACGTATTAGAAATTAAGAAACTAAAATGTCCCAGTGGAGTGGACAGTACACCACCAGAATTCAACTCTGTATCTGAAGACACAAGCACGTCTTTTGTCCCATTTTAACTTTGTGAAATGAGAATGAATTAAATTGCTTGATCAAGTCATTCACCAATAACTACTATGTCAAATACAACAGGAGTTCATGAGGTCATTATGGAGATAGAAGAAACTTATGCACAATTCACCCTGCACGGAAAAACTGCATACACTCTAAATGTAGGATAAGAATGAACAGATACAGGCTTGGAACTTAAAGTGCTTTCAGGAGGAATAAATCCAGTGTGGAAAGGCAGATGAAGATCTAGGTTAAAGCAATTAGAATATTTCCTACAGTCAGCATAAATTAAAACAAGTAATGGAAATATTTTCCCTTCAACCTTGCACATGATTGGTGTCTCGTGGGCTATCTACTCAGCTCTGTGTCTTTTCATTGAAACCGTCCATCCTATCCCTTGTCATGGTGATTAATCCAAAAAATGTCATAAGAGTGATGCAGCTCCTTATAATAAAAAAATCAAACCAAAACAAAGAAAAAAATGAGAGAGCATTTTTCACTTTTTAAATCATATTGTACTGTTGTCCTAATTTGGTTGCTCAGGAAAATCTGATTACTACAGCACTGAAAACAAGAACCTATCAGGTAAGTGTCACGTTCTACAGAGGACTGTATGAAGAGTTGAACAAATGAGTCTACAGATGCTCCTTGAGTTGGAAAGAGACAACGTCTTCATCACGCAAAGGCAATTGAAGATAAAATGCATTGAAAAGGCACAGAATATACCAGATTAACCAAAAATCATGGCTATGTCTTGGGTCCTTTTAACCTGCTCAATACACACACCTTGATCTGTATGTGGGAAAATTTATGTTAACACAAAGTCAAATTCATAATAAAACATTAAATACATCATATACTCTCTTGACTACAATACACTGTAAATCACTGGTTGGTCCCCTATGGTGTCCTGTTTTTGACAGAGCAGGGACTTGTTACTGCTATCCACCATGAGGAAGTATTATTCTACCAGGTACCACTAGTGTGAAAAATGAGTGTGTTTCAAAATTAAAAGTAAGATTTCTACTAAACTTTTCTTTTTCTCTTTACTATTAAAAACTTAACTCAGGCCCTTGTGCATATTAGACAAGTTAGTTTTGAATGGAGGTACACTCCACAATATTTATTTATGTTGAAAAAAAGTTTTGTTCCATTAGCCAGGCTACGCTCGGTGATTTAATACTCTTGATAAAGTTTCCCAAGTGGCTGGCATTAAAGGTGTGCACCACCATGTGTCATTGATGTTTACTTTACCCAAATACTGAAATCTGGGTAAGTGATGGTGACTCAAGTATCAAATTTTATTTTATTTTTTATTTTATTTTATTTTATTTTTTTTGGTTTTTCTCTGGTACCGGGAACCGAACTCACGACTTTGCGCTTGCCAGGCAGGCGCTTTTGCTCAAGTATCAAATTTTAAACTAGCACAGTGGCACGTCTGTGGTTCCAATAGTCAGTGAGGTAAAGAGTATCACAACTGCTTCTATTCTTGGCAATTTAGTAAGATCTGGTCTCAAAAACGAAAAAAAACAACAACGAAAAAGAAAACTTTTGGGAGGACATAGCTTGCAGCAAAACTCCCAAGTTCCATCCCAGTACAATGAAAAAGACCAAACACAGGTTGAAATCTTTTGTATCCAAGAGAAACCCCTCCCCATTCTGGATCAGTGATGATGTTCACCTTATTTTTAGACCTACAGCAACACCAGTTTCCTAATTTCTAATTCTGCCTCAAAAATGATTACATGAGCCCATTGGTACTCAGAGAAGTTACATTTATCTATTATTAAGTTCTCCTTTCTGTATGCTTGTGACGTTACATGCAATCTCAGAACAAGTCAGCACATAATCCTTCATTTTTAAAATCATACTAAGAACAGTCTGATTTCTTGAAACGTTTACTGTTGTAGTTGCTAATTTTTACCAACCTCCAAAATTCCCTGTTCTCCTATTTTGCTTTTACAACCCTTTCTTCTTGCCTGTTCAGAAAACCCTTTTATTCTATTTATTCATATGCCTGCAGACCTTAACTATGGGAATTTACCCCTACTTCATTACTTGTTTTATATAAACAAATCATTCAGTGTTTCAATTTTTAAAACAATGTCTTGAAAATGTCTACAGAATACAGAACGATTATTTCAGAGCTGATGCCCCTTTTCCTTTCTGACTGTACCAATATCACATGTACACATCCCTATGGATGCCCCAGTTCAGTGCATATCTATGTCAGTGAGGGTTTAACAGACAGCCCCTTCAGGAAGCTATTCTTAGCAGGACACACTTTACCCTCCCTTGGTAAAACATTAACATCCCCTCCATATTCCTCACTATTCTGAATTCTATGGAAAATCTCACTTAAAGAGTCTATACGTAAAGAATAATTTCCTTAGTTAGTTTATAAATAAGGAAATTAACTAGAAAAGGGCCTGACATAGAATTGAGAAATTAGCCTTTTGGATAAGAAGTAAAATGAGGCCGGGTTTGATGGTGCACGCCTGTAATCTCAGCACTCAGGAGGCTGAGGCAGGAGGCTCATCGCAGGTTCGAGACCAGCATGGGCTACAAAGTGAGCTCAAGGTCAGCCTGAACTGCATAGCGAGACCCTGTCTCAAAAAGAAAAAAAAAAAAAAAAAAAGGCATTAAAATGAGAATAGCCAATTACCTATTGGTAATTGGACAGAGTGAACTTGCTGCTGCCCTACAAGGAATGCAGCCGCCACCCTAAGTGTCTGAGTTTCCAGGAATTGAGAAGAAAATATCCAGTGTTTCTCTAAAACCCTACTTTCATTTTGCTAGTGTACTCTGACGAAATGGGTGAGAGAGCGGGAGTTCAAAGTGGTTGTTTCAGATCAGTGGAGCCATCTGTGATAGGTGCCCACTAAACAACTAAGCATTCACTGTGCTTTGTTTGCCTATAATTAGCTCTGGATTGAGAGGCTATGGGGCCACTCACTGGGGACACTTCCGGAAATCAGGGAGGTAATTTTCTTATTTCCAAGAAAATCTCTCCTAACATCCTCTTTTTGGGTTGTAACTTCATTCCCCAGTGTCATGAGACCAGGAGATCTTTTCGTTGAGTAACACAATTGCAAACAGAGATCTCACGTAAAAAATAACAGTCGTGATTTTTAAAAATACTGTGTATGGGACCCTGGGTTTCCCCTAAAACACGTGCTCTCTCCAGACTGCTGTAGATACATTTGTATCAGGGCTGACTAAGAAGCTGTTCTGGACTGGTAGTGTCAGAGCTGGGACTGTAGCTGGGAACGCAGCACTGTCTCTGCCTAAGCGAAGGGAAAAATGCTTCAGGGGATGATGCAGAATCAAAGACCAGGAAGACCTGAGGGTCTGGAGCTAAGCAGGGAGGCTGTCGATCGCGGTAGCTGTTTCCGACCACTTCCATACAGAACACGCCATATTCCATCCCATCACCCGTTTCTGTCCCACCAGGTTACCATTGCGTGGGTTGATGGTCTCCTAGGCTCTTTCTAATGCAGCTCGCAGGCAGTAGAAATTACAGAAAACGGTAGTCCAGTCTGCAGGGGCTATCAGCAACACAATCACAGTCTGCAGCGTGACGCCATCACACAGGAAGCGCCCTCCTCCCTCACCTGGCCTGACTGAGAAATTCGGAGAGCCCGCCTTCATTGCTGATTGGCTCCTGCTCTTGTGCCGCTCCGCTCAACTGAGTCGGCGAGAGAAACAAACCCCTTCCAGCAGGGGTGGAGCTCAAATGATAGCTTGTAACCCAGGAACTTCTGGACCAGTCTCTCTCCCACGCGTCAGTCTCACCTCTTCTGAGGAACACTTGAATTTAAGGGCTATAGTCCTGGGTTTTCAAAGCTCTTGTGTTTTTTTTTTTTTTAATGAACTCAGTGGACTCTTCCTGATAATGGGTAACAAATGTGCTCGAAGGTTCCAGGGTCAGTGTCCTCTGGAAGAGTCAATTCCCTGATGTTAGAAAACATCATAAGTCCAGGCCAGGCCTGAACAAGTTAGAATAGAGGGCCTGCTGCTGGGAATGAAGCAGTGAGTTCAGTGCCAAGATTTTCAAATTGTCTCTCATTCTATTCATTTTCATTAATGAAA